GGATACAGACTAACACGGCTGCTACTCTGAAATTTGTAGTTATGGTTATTTTTAAATCATAGGAAGAAATAGTTAGTGTATTAAAAACACAAGTAGGAACTGCAAATCAAGGGCCAAATTAATGCCTGATGTAAGCAGTACACTTTCCATTGGTTTCATCGGGAGCTCCCCCACTTATGCCAGGATTGAATTGGGGCCACTGTTTAAAATAGGAAAATTGATTTCGCTTTGAAAATATGTTTATAAAAAATTCAGAAATGTCCACGTATTATTTTTTCTTTTCTAATGTCGTGCTTTATGTATCAGACGGTATCTTTTGTTTTGTATTATACCATATATAACTGTAATTTTTATTTTAAATGTTGTTTGTTTGTTTTTGTAATAAATGTTAAAAGCTAATGGTCACAAAACTTACTGAATTGACCAATGTGAATATTAGAACTATTCCAAAGATTGGCGAAACTGTCTGATTTTTTGGGGTTAAAATATATATATAAGCAAATTAAGTCTGTGTTGCATGTCCAGTTTGTAAATATATTTTTCTTTTGTACAAATTTCTTCTCTCACATTAGGAAATGTCCCAACTGCCAACACATGTTCAGCTGAGGTGTTGCAATCAAATCATTGCTGTATTCAGTTTTGCATTTCATAATAGGGTGGCCTATTGGCAAATCCTTTTAGGATAATAACTTAATATAGAGTAAAACTTTATATGTGAGAGAAATGATTAAATGAAGTACATCTTAATCATACAAGAGTCTAGATTCACTTTTATGAAAATATGGAAACTGCCTGTAAAGTGCATTTTTCCCTGAAAAGTGACTCTCTGAAAAATATTACGGCAAGGTTTCAATATTCATTGTGTCTCACTAATTTCTATATTCAGTTTGCTCAGTTTGCAAGTAAAAATGGTTTGAACTAACAGCCGGCTCCACAAATGGATCCTGGCCTCTGACAGTCAAATGTCCTTCTCATACATCACCACCAGTAGTAGAGATTCTACAGGTCAAATTACATCTTTTGTGATGTGTGTGTAACTCCATTGTCTTCCTAGTATACCTTCAGTTATGCCTCTGCAACCCCATTATCCTTCAGAAGGTTTGCCCAGATGCAACTTAGGTCATAACTTGAATTGTCTCATAACAGAGCTCTGTCTTTAATTATTCCTCAATGAGACCAGTGGCCTATAGCTTTTACTTTCAAAAGGGGGAGAAATGTATCAACCCTTGCTGCAAGAATAAGCAGAATTGCAGTGGCGCCAACATATAGGCATCCGCTTCAGACAAGCTTCACTGGGCCTGAGTGTGCAATTTAGCAGTGAGCACCTCAGCAGCAGGTGCAACAAAGTTGGATCATTTTCAGCACCTTGCAGTTTAAAAAGAGCACTCAAACAACATTTAGTTCAGTAGATGTAAATCAATGTGGATTTAGGCTAGATCTACACTAGACACCACTGGTTGTGGCATGTAGTGTATGTATAGCTACATGCTGCTATGAAAAGCAGGCTGTGTTTACACTGCTATGTA